TGAAAACGTGCCGAAACCGTCCAGAATAGTCCAATTAGTACTTTTTGCTTTCGATATCTAAAGTGACAGCAATAAATACTGCTGACAGAATGTGTCTGACAGTATTCATTTCAAATTGTTTACAATATTCTCTTCAACAAACGCAGGAATCGGTCCTCAGACTGTAAGTAAAGTGACTAACATTTTTACGTGCCTGTGCCACCCGATACCTGAGAAATTGGCCAACAGCACAATTTCGCGAGTATACGTTCTAATAAAATATAGACACTATACTAATACTACTCGATTATTCATGTTTTGTCGATTAGAAAATAAGTAAGGTAAAAATTTTAAGGCGCAAAATTAGAATATAGAAAAAATACAATTCATAATGTTTTATTGAATAACTAGTGGCCCGCCCTTTCTTCGCTTCGGGGTAGAATTGATCAAAATCCTTTCTTAGCGGATGCCTACGTCATAACATCTACCTGCATGCCAAATTTCAGCCCGATCCGTCCATTGGTTTGGGCTGTGCGTTGATAGATCACTATGTCAGTCAGTCAGTCACCTTTGAGTTTTATATATATAGATAATAAATTAATGAACAGTAAATGGTTATAAGTAGACGTTTTATGGGTATGTATCAAAAATATTTCATGATTACATTTTTTGGAAACGACTCGGATAAAAATAGCAGGTTTTCATAATCTGTTGTTAGCATTTGTTGTTATAGCGGCAACATCATCATCTGTGAAAATTTCAGCTGTCAAGCTATCGCGGTTCATGAGATACAGCCGGGTGACAGACAGACTGTTGGACAATGGAGTCTTAATAATGGGGTCTAGTTTTTTCCCTTTGGGTACGAAACCCTAAAAAAATATGTTATAATTATGAACACATTACATAATTTGTGCGTTATAGTGGGAGGACCTTTTGGAACCAATTCCCTGACCTGATAGAAATTGATGTTGGGTTTTTTTTATAGATAGGTCCGATAAATGACACCACCCCACCTGATGTTAAGTGAAGGTGAAGTCCAGACGCGAAGATAGCTGATACAGCAGTTCTAACTGCCACACCAGCCATCCTCACCCTGCCGGCCTGCATGTTGCTTCTTCACGCCTCTTTTAAAGGATCCCAGGTTGTAAGAGGGAGGGAACACGTGAGCGGGCAGAGCATTCCATTTACGGATAGTACGACAAAGAAATGAGTCACCAAATTTCTTTGTACGCGTTGGAATTGTAGCCACAGTTAGACGGTGACAACGTAAGCCAGCGCGCGTGGTCCTCTGAAGGTTCATAGTAATACAATCTAGTTCCCATTCTAAAATAAGTACCCAAGGCTTTGTATGAAACTGTATCAATCTGATTAAGACAATAGAATGTTAGAACGATAAGAGTGAAGATCGAGAGAAAATCTTAAATAAAAACCCGCCAAGCACGAAGGGCCCCGTATAACAAACCGCAGAAGGAAAAATCTATTTTGTTTGTTTTCATTACATCTTACAGAGTACATTATCAGTGTTTTTATTTCATCATCATCATCAGCCTATTAATGTCCCCACTGCTGGGGCACAGACCTTCCCTATGGATGGAATAAGGAGATTAGGCCATGACCCATCACGCGGGCCCAGTGCGGATCGGTGGGTGCTAACGACTGCAGATGCAGCCGGGACTAACGGCTTAACGTGCCTTCCGAAGCACGGAGGAGCTCGAGATAGTACATTTTTGGTCACCCATCTAATGACCGACCACTGCGAAAGTAGCTTAACTACAACGATCGCAGCCGAACGCGCTAACCACTTGTGCCATCGAACTCTTCGGCGTTTTTGTTTAAGTACAGCATATGGGACATCAAATAGGTAACAAAATTGCTTATTAGTAATAATTAATTTTAGAATTAAGACTCCGTAAGTAAAATGGTCTAAAAATGCCAACTTTGAGGGCCCCCCATTTTTTTGTTATTGAGAATAAAAAGTATGTATATAAAACTATATTTTTATTCTACCTAACAAGTTTTTGACAAAGATGTGTCACATACTGGAGTAAAATATAATCGCCTCCTCTTCATGCACTTTTAGGATCCCTCATAAAAAACAGTTTAATTTTTATAACTAAATATTCGGCTTTAGGAATGCATTCTACATAAAATACCAAAATTTCAGTTCTATAACTCGTTCTGATAACGATCTAAAAACCCGTGACAGTAATAGGTTCCCGTTTACACCTGTGGCGACTTTGCACCGCATAAAAGTTGGTCCATGTCGCCATACAGCCAGTGTCTATGGACATTCCGTAGACACTGGCACATTAGAAATTAAGTTTTCTATGATTATGTTCTTTTTGATATTTTCTTATGGATTTTTAATAGTGATTCAAAAAAGAGACTTCAGAAGAAAATTTCGTTCATACGAATTGTATTTTTATAATTGTGAATATTTCCGAATATAGTGCTTATAAGTTGACCCGAGGAGCTCGGTGGCGCAAGTGGTTAGCGCGTTCCGCTGCGATCGTTGAATTTAAGCAACTTTCGCTGTGGTCGGTCATTGGATGGGTGACCGAAAATTTACTATCTCGAGCTCCTCTGTGCTTCGGAAGGTACGTTAAGCCGTTGGTCCCGGCTGCATCTGCAGTCGTTAGCAACCCACCAACCCGCACTGGGCCCGCGTGGTGGGTCATGGCCCAATCTCCCTATTCCATCCATAGGGAAGGCCTGTGCCCCAGCAGTGGGGACATTAATAGGCTGTTGATGATGATGATGAAGTTGACCCAGTATTGCCGTTTTATTATTCCATTCCGCTAGTGGGGAGAAGCGGCTAAACATTTACAAATACCCTTTGCGTACGGACCCCTAAAAATTAATAAAGAATAAAACAAAACTCTCCCGCAAACAATTAAGCTATAGAATAAGCTCCCCGTTCAGGTTTTCCCAAAGGAGCACAACGAAGGTTTCATCAAAAGATACGTTGAAACGTTTTCACAGGGTTATCAAATTTCTTTAAGTGATATTGTGCTTCCCGTCCCGTCACAGAGACACTTTGTGCCATTTCCAACGTTTTATTTTTACCGTTTGCCCTTTGCCACCCCGCAGTTCTTGCCACCGATGGCAAAAAGCTTCACGAAATGAAATAATTTGGCAGACTTTGTTTTAATGAAAAATACAAAAATTTAAATATAGTGTAAAAGTTACTATATCTAGAGTATTCCATCCCGGTCGATTTTTCTAATCCCGGGATTTCGGGATTATGTACAGTTAATCCGCGGATCCCGGGATAATCCCGGGATTGTATTGGTAATAGAAAGTGGTGACAAATCTTTAATAAAACAAAAGAAATGTATACTTTCTTCTGTTATTATCCTATCCTAATCTACATACGATATATCAATACTAGTATCATAAATGCGTAAATACGTCTGTTATATCTTCAAGCTCGAACCGCTGGACCGATTTTGTTGAAATTTGGCAAAGAGGTAGTTTGAGTTTGGGGGAAAGGACAAAGGATAGTTTTATCCCAGAACTCATCCTTTAAGGAATTGAAAAAAGGGGTATGGAAAACCATTTTTTCCATGCAGAAGAAATCGCGGGAACACAATAGTTAGTTTAAAATATTCACGTTTAACGTTCTTGTATCAAAGCATTGTGTTACGCAATTAAGTTAATGTATGTAGGCAGTCCCAGGGCTAGGTGAAAGCTTATGATCACAAAAGGAGGTGTTCATTGTAAAGGTGCTTCTTTCAGACACTTCATTGTTGGGTCCAATCCAATCCTACCAAAGGACTGAATTCACAGTCGATTTCAAGAAAGGTTAGCATTCATGTAGGTAAATAGGTTTGAAACGCAGAACTTTTCTATTACTATAATGTTATTTGGACTTGTATATTTTTCAATAAACTTTTTATGCTAATTATTATTTATTGATAATTCTAGACCCTTGGTTCCGAACCTAGGGGTAATTACCCCCTTGGGGGTAAATCAGCCATACTTCGGGGGTAACAAAGAACCTCATTTAGGGATGTCGAAAGTTGAAAAAAATATCGATATATTGTTTTAAACTTTCATGGTCACTAACATTATAGTAATATAAGTTATTTACGGGATTGTTACCATGTACCTTGTTTTTAGCGAGTTTCCGATATTTCGGCACTGTTGCAAGCGCCATGATCACGGAGTAACAGCCGAAATATCGGAAACTCGCTAAAAACAAGGTACATGGTAACAATCCCGTAAATAACTTATATTACTATAAAAATATCGATATATCGATACATCGATATTTTTAAAAAATATCAATTTCGGTTTCGATATATCGCGAAAAAAACATCGATATATCGGACCAATTTTCCCAAAAATATCGTACAGGAGCTCACGAAATATGACAAGCGGAATAATAATGGAACGAAAATTATCTCCCTTAAAATAGACCCTATTTTCCAATGTTGACATACACAATACTTAATACAGCACAGATCATAGATATGTTGAATATCATTAATCTGAGATCCAGTTACGATTTTTCCAGATACGAATTTAGTTAGATCGTGATATGCCGCTAATAATTAAAAAAATATCGTTTTTGATACGAATTTCGATATTGGTTATTTTGTATCGATGTATCGATATATCGAATCAAAATATATCGGCAAAAAATATCGATATATCGAACAAAAAATATCGATATATCGATACATCGATATATTTTCAACAAGCCTAACCTCATTATTTAGTCAAATCTTAGTAATAATAAAATACAGTACACCGCGCAGTAACGCACGTGGCATGCGCTCCTTCCTGCTAGCGAGACCGTGGGGTGCTGAGAATGGGAGGCGGGCCAAGATTTTCGCCTGATGATGGCATTATTAGAAACGAAGATGTAGCGGCTCATTTGGAATTCTTGGACTGCGCGAGAGTAGTGCTTTCAAAATAGAATTTAAAAATGTATGATATGAGCACACTTTGGATAAAATCATCAATCAATAAAATCAGGTGCCAAATATCCTGTTATAGCTAACAGAGCTTTAAAAATGATAATACCCTTCTCCCCCTACAGATGCGAGAGTGGTTTTTCAACTTTAGTTACCTCCATTAAAAACTTTGAGATGCGCTTTAAGTGAAACTTAACGTAACATAAAAAAAAATGCAAGACAATTCCAACCTTCATAATGATTATTATTATTAATTCATAGTTTAAATATGAAACAAGATAAAATTGTAATACTATTCTGCAATTTGTAGCCTGTTTTGATTGATAATAATAAATTTTTGATTAATAAACATTAAAATTTGCTTGTATTGTTTGTATTAATAACATTTTAAAGTCGTGGTAAAATCTGATTTCCTAATAGGTTACAGGGGTAGCCGTATTGGAAAGGTTAGGAAACACTGTCCTAGACCGAAGCTACTCGTATATATATTCCTCATTATCAGCATAGTTTGAAATCTGGGAAAGATAGTGTTCAGCAGATGCAGCCAGGGCCTGTAATGCACCTCTGTCGGATTCTTCCATTTGTTTCTGAAACCGTTCACCAATAGCCGATTGCTCATCATCTTTATCATCTTTTGTCCTCCATATGGTCATTAATTCAGCGTACAAGAATAAGTTACACATATTTTTTTATTAATGATTCGTGGAATCGTACAAATTCAGCGATATCACATACTATATATATATATACACACATCAAAAGTGTCTAGGGATCAAGCATTTTTATGCGGATTTCTTGAGATTGAGATGTGGCTTTGTAATAAATTTATGATTTTATAAATTTATATGGATCCTTTTTGGTGCATTTCATAATTTGAATCAGGAACTGTGAATCAAATTCGAGTAAAAGATGAAAATCAGCTGTCAATATTTTCCCTATAAAAACATACAACGCATTGAAGACATTATTAGTGCTACTGTTTCCCTACTACTGATTAAAACCAACGTTATTATGGAGCGGCGACGTCATTTAAGCAGGGAAGAAATGCTCAGAGCCGTGGGAATGATAGAAGCTGGTTCCCGGCAACGTACTGTGGCTTTAGCTCTGAATACAAGTCAGAGTGTTATCAGTCGACTTTGGACACGATACCGAAGCACTGGTACCGTGGCTGAGCGCCATGGAGGACGGTATCGCTGCACCACACGGAGACAAGACCGATACATACAAATCTTAACTCGAAGAGCTCCAACAATAACCGCCATGATGTTAGCCGTGAGGCTTCATCACTCTTCAGGGAACTTAATTAGCGACCAAACAGTCAGAAACCGCTTGCATGAAGTGAACCTTCATTCCCGAAGACCGCTACGGGTACCACCTATAGCAATGCACAATCGTAGGATTCGATATCAATGGGCTCTTGAACACAGAAATTGGGCAGAAGAACAATGGCGTTTCGTGTGCTTTTCTGATGAGTCTCGTTTTGGTATGAGACCGGATACAAGACGTATACGACACTGGAGAACCCCTGGACGCCAACAGCGATTAAAATCCTGCCAGGAAGTCCATCCTTATAGTGGTGGAACCATCATGGTATGGGCGGGTATTTGGATCGGCGGAAGAACTGAGTTGATTTGGATCAGAGGCAACCTCAACGCTCAAATTTATGCTGAGACGATTGTATCAGACGTCATCGTTCCTCTACAAGTGCAAATCGGTCCCTTATTTCAGTTAATGCATGATAATGCACGACCGCACACCGCAAGAGTTGTAAGACAGACTCTCGCCGCAGCTAACATCAATGTCCTGCCCTGGCCTGCTCAGTCGCCAGACTTGAACCCGATTGAGCATGCATGGGATATGCTACAGAGAAGAGCTCTGCCGAATATGGAGGGTATCCAGTCGCAAGAAGACCTTTTTTTGTTGTTGCAACGAACATGGGCGGCCATTCCACAGCGTGATTTGGATGAACTCATTTTGAGTATGCCAAACCGATGTTCTTGTGTTGTTAGTGTTCGCGGTAGAAATACGGATTATTAATTGTTTAAGTTACCCAATAAAATTTTAGAGAAAACTGTTATTTCAGTCTTTTTTTCGAACTTTTGTGTTAGTGGTTCAAATGTCAAAAATCCCTTTATTAGGAAAATGGCAAATTTCTTTATTAATGCAAAGGTGACTTGGTTTATCGTTACTGTGACAAACGAAAACACTTTATTTGATGAATCCTTAAAGAAAATTTTAATTAATATCAATCAGGAGAAAAGTTATTGCAAAAATATATGTTGATCCCTAGACACTTTTGATGTGTGTATATACTAGTTGTCCCGGCGAACTTCATACCGCCATAAAAAAGTAAGGGTTAGTGGTAGAAGGATGAAAATTTAGGACTGTATGTATTTTTGTATGATGTATCATAAAAAAATAAAAAAAAAATATCTAAAATTGAAATAAAAAAATTTAGGGGTGGATTACCCTTAACATTTAGGGGGATGAAAAATAGATGTTGTCCGATTCTCAAACCTACCCAATATGCACACAAAATTTCATGAGAATCGGGAAAGCCGTTTCGGAGGAGTTTAACCACAAACACCGCGACACGAGAATTTTATATATTAGATATATATATATCATTTTGTAAATACGTTTTAGAATCTCATTGCTATTCCGAAGTATTACAGACTTACCTGCGTTAATATTATTCGAACTCGGATGTTTTTCGTAAAGACTCGTAGTTCATGAAAAGTCATGAAGTTTAATTCATATTTTCCTTGTATATTTCCTAAATATGGACATATGAGACACATAAAAGTTTTTCTCCGTTGCCATGGCTACCCATGACACGGATTAGTGTTGCCGATCGATAGGCGACTATCGATGATTAATCGATAGTCTATCGATAGCCAACCAATCGTATGACAATCGATCGGCTTATCGATAGTATCGATACTATCGATAGCACATAAAAAGCCAATACTATCGGATGAGTTAAATACTATCGATACTATCGATAGTATTGTAGTTCGTTAATAACAAACTATCGATAGTATCGATACTGTCGATTTTATTTGCAGCCATACTATCGATAGTTTAACAATTTGCAATAGTATTGTTTACAATTTTCAGGTATTATAGTCAATCACAAACTTAGTCTAGAACAATCGCTAGTATCGATACTATCGATAGTATTGTTGCAGATAAAATCAACACTATCGATAGTATCGATACTATCAATAGTTTGTTATTAACGAACTACAATAGTATCGATAGTATCGATAGTATTGCACTCATTCGATAGTATTGCCTTGTTCTGAGCTACCGATAATATCGATACTATCGGTAGTATCGATTCTATCGATAGAGTACATGATTTTCGATGTAAACTGTCGATAGTTTTAATATCGATAGTTCGGCAACACTAACACGGATACTCTTTCCGACTGGACCTTTACGCTCTATAATACCCGCCATACACACTACGATAAATCGTTACGATTAGACTGTACAGTCCGAACGGTACCGATAAATCGTAGCGTGTATGTCATAAAACTGCACAGTTTCCTATACTAAACGAAATCGTATAAACTGTACCGTTCGAAGTGTACAGTCTGATGGTAACGATTTCTCGTAGTGTGTATGGCCGGTATAACTCAACAACCTTCACAGAATACCAATCTTTATACTTTTTAGGCTAATCCGATCCTGGAGCTCTACTCTCTTTCTCCGAAACGAAATTTCGGTAACGAACGAATTTTAAACGAAATTTCGCCAATAACTCTACTCTATTTCATTTTCGAATACGCACATAAAGTTCGGAATCACAGACAATTTTCGTGAACGAATGGAATGAGTCATGTTTGTGAGTTCTTTTATCTCCACTTCTTAGATTACCTGGTTTACTTGGAAACAATATTACTTTACTACAAAACTTTTGATAACATTAAAAGTACCTTCTTTGTTAGCGTTAGCCGACTAATTTGTAGAGTTGATGTAAACCTAAATTTGTCATTTAAAATAATACTTGAAGTATTGGAAACACAATAATTAATCCTACTTGTTAATGTGACATGCTAAAAAATGTTTCTCATGCAGCAGCCTTGATTAAAAATACTCTAGCAGTCATTTTAGGCTTAATTTAAACAAAAGTTACGAACGAAAATGAAAAGGTAACACTTTTCATTTCATCAATTTGAGGTTAAAATTTCGAATAATTATATGTCAAATTCAACTTTAAGTTTGAAAGTTGAAGTAAATTAGAGTAGGCTTGAAGAATAATTTAACTGTCAAACTATTTTCGGACGAACGAATTTTCGAAATGAAAAGGAAACAGAGTAAGAAACGTGCGAAATTTCGATCGAAATTTAGTTTTTCGTTGAAATAGAGTAGGCCTCTAGATCTATATTTAAATGGTTCCGGACCTACAAAAGGCCGAGCCGCCCTGCTCAACGAAGCATTTCTACGGCAAAAGTTGCCAAGTAAGCTTTTGTTGGGTCGCTACCGAGCCTCTCTTAATTTCTAAGAGGGCTTGCCCTGGGAACTCAGACAAAGGCCACAAAGTCCAACGGCAACCCCTTGGTTCTGGTACGCTCTAACTATACTCCTTAACTGAACCACTCTCCAGTCTACACGTGCCTCATCGGACTCCTGTCATCGTCACCATTACCAGCTGTATCTTGCGAACACCAGCTGCTGTCTCTCTCGACCATCAGCTGCTGCCTCGCCCGACCATCAACTACTGCCTCTTACGACCTCCAGCTGCATTTCCTGCCCAACAGCAACTGCCTCTCCTGACCACCAAGTGCTGCTTCTCCCGACCACCGGCTTCTGGACCTCCCGACCACCAGCTGCTGCCTCGCCCGACCATCAACTGCTGCCTCTCCCGACCTCCAGCTGCATTTCCTGTCCAACAGCAACTGCCTCTCCTGACCACCAAGTACTGCTTCTCCCGACCACCGGCTTCTGGACCTCCCGATCACCAGCTGCTGCCTCGCCCGACCATCAACTGCTGCCTCTCCCGACCTCCAGCTGCATCTCCTGTCAATCAGGTACTGCCTCTCTCGACCACCAGCTGCTGCTTCTCCCGACCACCAGCTTCTGGACCTCCCGACCACCAGCTGCTGCCTCGCCCGACCATCAACTGCTGCCTCTCCCGACCTCCAGCTGCATCTCCTGCCCATCAGCTACTGCCTCTCTCGACCACCAGCTGCTGCCTCTCATGACCACCAGCTGCTGCCTCACCCGACCATCAACTGCTGCCTCTCCCGACCTCCAGCTGCATCTCCTGCCCATCAGCTACTGCCTCTCTCGACCACCAGCTGCTGCCTCTCCCGACCACCAGCTGCTGCCTCACCCGACCATCAACTGCTGCCTCTCCTGACCTCCAGCTGCATCTCCTGCCCATCAGCTACTGCCTCTCTCGACCACCAGCTGCTGGATCTCCCGACCACCAGATGCTGCCTCTCCCGACCAGCAGCTGCTGGATCTCCTGTTTACCAGATGCTGCCTCTCCCGACCATCAGCTGTTGCATCTCCGAACCACCAGTGGTGTCTGCCGGCCAGTAGCGCCGCCCTACCTGCGACGCGGTTACACTACTAGCAACGTCCTCCGATTCCAGACCTTCAAGCATATACACTTCACACTCCACACCACTCACTCCCACACTCGCCTATTCAATATCCTTTGTTTACTGTAAATATTTTTAACCTTGTAAACATATTTCTATAACCTTTTTTTGTTGTTCTCTTTGACTTTTCCCAATTCTTTTACTCTATTTATTTTGTTGCTTGACAACAGAACAACGGCTTCACGTTCCTTCCGAAGCAAGGAGGTGTAAGAGATACTAAGTTTTTGGTCACCCATCCAATGACCGACCATTGCTAAAGTTGATGAACTTCCAAAATCGCAAGCCGAATGAACTAACCAACTACGCTATCCTGCTCGTGTAATAAAACGAAAGCGCATAAACAACCAGACCCAAAAGCGGAGTACATAATTCTAAAAACTAATATTTCCTGCATTGATCGCACCGGGAATCAAAGATAAGACTTCGGAGCTGGCGTCATCATAAAGATCACTCGACCAAGAAAGTCGATAAAAATAACCCATTACGCAATAGAAATTTTTAGAGTTCCTCACCGAAAGGGTAACAATGAAACCCTTACGTTCAGCATTCCCACCTTTTTCTTATCTCGTTAAATGGCTATTTTTTATAGCCACTTTACCGGCAAATAATAATAGATATTGAAATTTTAACTAAAGGGGATCCTTGGTACCTATTATTTCGATGTTCTAATACACCATTTATTAATAAATCTTGTACAACTATACGGAACCCTTCTGTACAATTATAACCCTTATCCGACTCGCGGTTGTCCGATTTTTTATGTTAATTCATTACCTTTACCAAAAAAGAGTTGGGGAAAGCTCTGCCTATCTAAAACATGGGATAATTTGCAATCAAGATAAGTACGTAATTTTTTGTAAAAATGAATACAAAACTCGTATCAATATCAAGAGGTGAGACTCGATCTAACATTTTAAAGAAATATAAATAAAACTGTAAGTTAGCCTGCTATGTCAGTTTAAATAATTTTGGTGAAATTATGAGTTATTTAATTCAGCTTTATTTATGATATATAGATTTCTCTAACATTAGGTACCATGAACAGGTAAAACATAGAATACTTTAAAGTAGACATTTTAAATATTTTTTATTTGAAATGTTTTTTTTTGTAATATTTTGTTTTTAATTTATTATTTCCAATCGTATATCACATTATAATAAAATAACTTGCCACTTTAAATAATGTTTCAAGTAACAACAAACGTTTAAATTAACTCGAACTAAAAAAAAATCGAAAACTGTGTTATATTTAACTTTTTAAGAACTTGGACTTATTATATCTTTAGATACTGACACACATTATTGAATATTTTAATAAATTGGACAAACAAAGAAAACTTTCCCATTCAACTTCGAGACAAATCGATTTTACAACCAGTCAATTGTTAATTAAGCCACAACAGAAATTCCTCATAGAAATGCCATATACACAAAATCGATTTAACATAGTATAATCAAATGAATGCTCACCAAAAACAATCAATTGTCCATAACCAACACTTTGCTTTAGCCACACTTTAAAAAACCAAATTAAAAAAACAAAATCCGAACTGTTCTAATTTCAAATGTTTATCTTTTTATTTTTTACAATCTATGCAATTCGATTTTTTTTAATGTTGAGACGAAAGAGGCGTCACGCGCGCAGCCTGCTCGCCCGATGGCGCGGGACTGGAGAAAATTGACATGCGCTTTGGGAAATCGATGGTGTAATGGCGAAAATTGCCTTTTTAGCCGCGCTACGTTCGAAATGTCCGTTTTGGGGATTCGACTGATAAGCACAATAGTGTGATAGGAGGACTCTATCTTGTTTGTGCCATCGATCGCTTCAACTCTATCCCGACCTAGTTTTTCGAATAGAACCTGTTTGTGTCAAATCACAGATAATATAGTCTTTCAATATATACTTACATTCGGAATTAGTTGCCTATAATGGATCATTAATTACAGAAAGTATCAAAGCAAAATTTATTAGCTCTTAATTTATGTTACTGTATGCATTTTAACTTTCTTCATTTAGACGTAAACTTCAAAAAAGTTAGACCGAAGAAAACGACAAAACAACAACAGATGTACAAGGTAGGGAAAATTGTTCGCTCGAAATGGAACGCGCCCGCTTGGGAAATCAACCACTTATATCATATAGAAAATTGCAGTAATATTTGTTACTATTTGGTGTTTCACGGGGTAGACTATTGGTCAGTCAGCTCTCTAAGTATGCAGTAACAAGAACTATAAAGTGGGTGAAAATGGCTGTGCTAAGCAGACAAAATAAGTGGAAAGGTGATTAAAACTTGAAAATCTTTTAGGACAGAGTTACTGTTATGTATGTAGGTAGTTATAAGCCAGCAACTGTGTCGCGTCCCTACCAATAAACAGTGCGTGTTTAACCACAGCTTGTTTCACTTGTCTCCGTATAGCTCCGATACACATCATTGGCGACGATTTTTACGATACCCGTATTAGAGAAAAAAAAATGTCCGGTTCGTATTTCGGAGTATTGAATACATTTGATCATAATTCCCAAACGTGGGACTCCTATAAAGGAAGGATTTTGCAATATTTTATTGCAAATGACATCGATCAACAAACGGATGCCACAGGAAGAAAAAGGAAAGCGATCCTTCTCAGCGCACTCACCGAGGGTACCTACAAGCTAGTGGTCGACTTATCGTTACCCAAGGACATAGGAAATGTTCCGTTCGAAGACATCATATCTGTTCTGGACGCTCATTTCACTCCCAAACAGATTGGGTTCAGTGAACGACATAACTTTTACTCGGCTACACAACGAGCGGGTGAATCTCACACCCAATGGGCAGCGAGACTGCGAGGTCTGACGTCACGGTGCGGATTTTTGAATGTAGAAGAAGCACTAAGGGATAGATTTATCATGGGAATGCGTCCAGGAATTGAAAAGGAAAAACTGTACGCGCATGACCTTAATGACCTCCAGTTGGCAAAGGTCGTCGAACTGGCAGAGAACTTGAGCAGCGCGCGTGCGGCTGCCGCTGCTGCAGTCAGCACGATCGACGGGCCCGGGATTACGACAGTTCGCGATAGTCCAGTGTTCAAAATTTCAAAAAATCATAATAACCGAAGTGAACAGAAACTTAGATGTGGTGTTTGCGGGTACACAAATCACAAAACGTCTGAATGCAAATTTTCAAATTACGTGTGCAAAAAGTGTCACGAAAAAGGCCATTTACGTAGAATGTGTAAAGTTAAATACGTAATGGATTGCGGTGACCAGGGTGAGGATGGCGAAGGCGATGACGGTAATGTATTTCACATTCATTCAAAGCGTGGTGAACCAATGGTAGAAACTGTGTTTATTAGTAACATGCCATTTAAATTTGAGATTGACAGCGGGTCCGCAGTAACTGTTATTTCCGAGCACTATTACAACAAGAGCTTCAAGAGCCAACCTTTAATAGCTACGCGTAAACAGCTGATGACATACAATAACAGAAATATTGTTTGTATAGGTATGATTCGGGTTCCGGTTTGTTATGCAAACCAAACTCATACATTAGAAATTTACGTAGTTCGTGACGGTGGCCCGCCGCTTTTAGGAAGAGATTTTATATCGAAATTTAGGTTACAGTTATTACCAATAAATTTTTGCCAAGATGACGAAAATTTTATAAAAAGTATACAAGAAAAGTATACGGATTTATTTTCTAATAAGTTAGGAACGTTTAACAAATATAAAGTAAGTTTAAAATTAAAAAATAATAGTAAGCCAGTATTTTTTAAAGCTCGACCGATTGCATTTGCTGTAAGGGATAAAGTTAGTGAAGAAATTAATAGACTGGTCAACTTAGGAATCCTTAAACCCATCCAGTATTCAGAACATGCGTCACCTATAGTACCTGTCTTAAAAAAAGATGGGTCAGTAAGATTGTGCGCGGATTACTCAGTTAGCATTAATAAACAATTACAGATAGAACAATATCCTCTTCCTACTATTAACGAGTTATTTTCTAAGATTAATGGTGGGTGTATATTTTCAAAATTAGATTTGTCTATGGCTTACAATCAGTTGGTTCTGAGTGAAGATGATGATTCACAAAATATAACTTGTATAAATACGCATCGGGGGTTGTTTAAGTTTACTAGGTTAGTTTTCGGATTATCCAGCGCTCCTGCAATATTCCAAAGGGCAATCGAAGGCGTTCTATCGGGGTTAGACGGTGTAATATGCCTATTGGATGATGTTTTAATAAGCTCGGGTAATAGTCGTATTGAGCACGCAGAAAGGTTAAACGCTGTCCTTAGCCGCTTACAGGATGCAGGTTTAACGCTACAGAAAGATAAGTGTGACTTTTTCAAAGAGGAGGTAAGCTACTTAGGTTATATACTTACGAAAGAAGGGCTTAAAAAGGCGCCTGCAAAGGTGAAAGCCATGATTGATGCTCCTGTCCCTAAAAACGTTAACCAATTACAGTCATTCTTAGGGTTAATCAATTACTATAGGAACTTTATCCCTAATGCATCGTCCATTCTAAGCCCCCTATATGATTTACTGAAAAAGGGCTGTAAATTTCAGTGGTCGAATGTACATGAATATGCATTTAAAAAAATAAAACAATTAATGATCTCCGATCAGGTATTGGCTCATTTCGATTCAAAAGCTAAGATAATTTTAACCGTGGATGCATCTCCCTCGGGTCTCGGCGCAATATTATCACAAGTGAGTACCGATGGGGTGGAGAGGCCAATTTCGTTTGCTTCGCGTACTCTCACCTCGGCAGAGAAACGGTATGCACAAATCCAAAAAGAAGCCACAGCCATTATTTACGGGGTGAGGCGGTTCCACCAATACTTATACGGTAGATCTGAACCATTCGTATTGCGCACAGATCATAAACCATTAATATCTATCTTCGGTCCACATAAAGGGGTACCGGAGTTGTCTGCAAATAGGTTACAGCGCTACGCAATTTTCCTAAGTAGTTATAACTATGTTATTGAGTACGTTCGTAGTGGCGATAACGCTGCAGACTATTTGTCTCGCGCGAGTCTTCCCGAGCCGCCGCCGACGCCAGCCGAAGCTAGGGAACGGTGCGTATGCACCGAATATCACGGTGAGAGGGAGATGGACTGCGACCGCGCTACGTACGTTTGTTTTGTTTTGGATGGTAGCTTACCGATAACGTTGGATAGATTGCGTAACGAGACACTCAAAGATACAGTGCTAAAACAGGTTATAGGATATGTAAAGAATGGGTGGCCTCCCAAATGTAACAATTTATGTTTAAAGCCATATTATTTGTGTAGATCCGAGTTGTCAGTGGAAAACGGATGTTTAATGAGAGGTCACAAGATTGTAATACCGGAAAATTTATATCAGTTAGTTTTAAGAGAATTACACTCATCTCATTTGGGCGTAGTAAAAACAAAAGCTGCAGCCCGAGCGAGATTGTGGTTCCCAGGCATTGACCAGGCGCTGGAGAATATGATTGCTTCGTGTGACATTTGCATCCAGTTGCGCCCTACACCGCCCCGTGCCCCTATTTGTCCTTGGGAAAACCCAATAGATCCCTTTGATAGGATTCACATAGATTTCTTAGGTCCTATTAAAAATTGTACTTATCTCGTCGTGGTAGATGCGCATTCGAAATGGGTAGAAGTTTATAAAATGAATATGTCAACGTGTTCAACTGCTGTGATCTCTAAACTTTGTGATTTTATGTCTCGCTTCGGAATTCCCAAAACTATAGTTAGTGATAATGGAACAGCTTTTTGTTCACGGGAATTTGAAATGTTTTGTAACTCTAACGGTATATGTCACGTCACTACACCGGTGTATCACCCGATGAGTAACGGTCAAGCTGAAAGTTTTGTTAAAATTATAAAAAAGGGTATAAAATCAGCTCTAATGTCATGTAGTAGTGCGAAGGATATTTCACTTACTTTGTTACAGTATCTATTAGACTACCGTAATTCGGTTCACACCACCACGGGTCGGTCCCCCGCTCAATCAGTGTTTGGCCGAAACCTTAGATCTCGATTAGATCTAATGATGCCCAAGCCTTCGTCACCCTTGACACCGTCAATACCCATTGCCACAAAACGATTTCAGTGCTCACATAATCAACAAGAGATAAATAAAAAACATGTCTTTAAGGAAAATGATAATATTTTATATAAGAAATTTAGTAGCAAAACAAAATTTACATGGAATAAAGGAATTATATTAAAAAAGTTAGGTAAAGTTATGTATTTAATTAAAGATAATGTAAGTAACGAGTGTATTAAAAGACATAAGAATCAAATATTTTTGTTTAAAGGGACGATTAACCAAAACAATAACCAAATTGTACATTTACCTGAGCTATCATCATTACCTTCTCCGCCGCCGCCGCCCACACCGCCGCCGCCGTCGCCGTCGTCGCCGCAACCGCTCACACCGCCGCCACCTACAGCTGCTGGTCTAATGATACCACAGCAGGATCATGGCTCAAGCTTTACTGACCCTACATTTGCTCCTATCGAACATCGTCCACTTATTCGACGTAGAGGGAGAAGAGAAGAGTTTTATGTGCCGGGGGAAGGTTCACCAGTAAATGATGAGGAGAGTTCGGTGCGACAGGATAGTAGCAGTATGGAGCCTGAATCTCATATTCCAGGACGCCCAGAGGCTGCCACGCCTGAGAG